GGTATACAAATTCAAAACAAATGTGCAAATACCGTATACAAATTCAAAACAAATGTGCACATACAGTATTCCAATTCATAACAAATGTGCACATACGGTATACAAGTGCACATACGGTATACAAATTCAAAACAAATGTGCACATACCGTATACAAATTCAAAACAAATGTGCACATACAGTATACAAATTCAAACAAATGTGCACATTCAGTATTCCAATTCATAACAAATGTGCACATACGGTAAACAAATTTAAAACAAATGTGCACATACGGTATACAAATTCAAAACAAATGTGTACATAAGGTATACAAAAAAAGGTGCTCATAAGGTATACAAATTCAAAACAAATGTGCACATATGGCATACAAAAAAAGGTGCACATACGGTATACAAATTCAAAACAAATGTGTACATACGGTATACAAAAAAAGGTGCTCATATGGTATACAAATTCAAAACAAATGTGCACATACGGCATACAAAAAAAGGTGCACATATGGTATACAAATTCAAACAAATGTGCACATACGGTATACAAGTGCACATACGGTATACAAATTCAAAACAAATGTGTACATACAGTATAAAAATTCAAACAAATGTGCACATACGGTATACAAGTGCACATACAGTAAACAAATTTAAAACAAATGTGCACATACAGTATTCCAATTCATAACAAATGTGCACATACGGTATACAAAAAAAAAGATGCACATATGGTATACAAATTCAAAACAAATGTGCACATATGGTTTACCAATTCAAAACCTACACAGGTGCGCATACAGTATAATACACATTTAAAACGGATGTGCACATACAGTACAGAAATATACAAGTTAAACATCTGCACATACAGTATACAAATTCATAACCTACACAGGTGCACATATAGTACACATTTAAAACACAGATATGCACATACAGTACAGAAATATACAACCTAAACATTTGTGCACATTCAGTATACCAATTCAAAAACTACACAAATGTGTACACCAAGGACATACCTTTATAATACTTCAAGAAATAAACATATCCTTAATAAAAAAGGCTACAGTGTACACCATATGCATTGTGCTATAAACACCTTAATGTGTGTTTTGGCTACTGGATCTACTGATGACCAGTAACATTGAATACAAAGTTTTTTAGGAGGCAGCAATGTGTAGAAGGAACTCCTCCAGGAATATTATAGACTGCATGCTGCAAGAACTCCAAAATGGGAGCAGAGGGCTTTGGGTAGTTTATGTCGTAGATGTAGAACATTTTGAAGCATACATCCACTGCTTGAAGTAAGGTCTCCTTTTCAACTGCCTCTCCATTGAAAATGATGAAAACTTGGGAGGAATTTTCTTTGTCTACAAGCACCAAGACATGTGGATCCTGGCTTGTCTCATTGTTGAGGTAGTGCACCATATTAGTACCAACCTTGAAAGAATAAATAAACTTTAGTTGGCATATATGACAAACATTCCAGGGATTCAATATATGTTTACAAATGAATCACACAAAAAAACAGCAGTGTTACACTGTGTAAAAGTAAAACTGAAGCAGTGTTGTAGTGAATTAAAGTAGGTTAACTCTAAAAGTGATGAATGACCGTTAGTCATGACACCTGTGGATAACAAGCAGAATCACGGAAGGAAAGAGTTTATGTACAAAGCAGTGTAATTTAATGGGCCTATATTATCCTTTTTTTGATTTTACTTTTCCTTTAGGTAGTAATATAGCTGTTTGACCATGTAAAATATTTTAAAAGTTACAAAGTATATGCCAAAGGTCTTTCTATCCAACTTGAACTGCCTGAAATAGGTTATTTGTAGTCCTGCCATTACTTCCGTGACTATACTATGTTACTATATAACACATTTGCAAAATGCCTGCCGGCAGACACCTGTCTACACCAGACGAGAGTGTGGAATCACTTAAAAAAGCTATAATCAATGAATACACTGGATTTGGACTGTAGACAGATGCCGTGTTCTATTTCTGATGCGTTCCTGGAAAGTTCGTTTTGGCCTGATTTTGTTCGCAATTACGTCACATTAGTTCGTTCTTCGATTTCGCTTGAAGTATATCGGGGCCTTTAAAGGAGCCAATCCTCTAAATAAGAGCTTTTCAGACAGAGGGTCAAAATGAAGGTAGAAAATATTTTCATAATCATTTTTTGTGAATAATATTTTTGTGCAAACAATTTTACCAACATTATAAGTGAACCACAAAAATACTACATATTTAATAAATACATATTAAAAAAAGGCCTTTAAGAGGTGAGTTTGCAGTGTTGCTTTTACTTACAGGCTGAACGTCAATGAAGCTGCACTTCATTTCAGCATATGTTGGACGCACCATTTTCCCATTTGTGTGGTATGGTGATGATGGCAGGACAGCAGGAAGGGTTTTAAAGGCGATTTCACCTTGTCTTAAACAAGTTTAAAGAGAGAACACAAGTCAGAAAATAAGTTAAGCTTACAGTTTTCAAAAAACAATGGATAAAATCAAGTTCCACCCTACTTTTTTCTTGTTCAATAAGTCATAATTGTCACCCTCAAGTAGTTTCCAAACCTGTATGAATTTCTTTGTTCTGCTGGACACAAAGGAAGATATTTGGAAGAATGTTAGTAACCAAACAGATCTCGCCCCCCATTTACTACCATAGTATTTATTATACACCAATCCTTCACATTAACTTCGGTGGAGAGCAGATGCGTTCAAATACCACGCGTTATCTTCAGCGACAGTGACGTCACCAGCGAGGCTCAGTTCGTCCAGTTCACCTGATGCGCGTACACCTTCAAACAAGTAAGGGCAACGATCTTTTTTTGTAATGAGATCACGTGGTTAACGGTATTATTTTAATTATTTCAGTGTTTCTGCATCACGTTACATGGGGTCATGTGTTAAAATGGCAGCGTATGCGTTCAAATTATGGAACAGTGGGCTGCTCAGTTAGCACAGCTGCTAGCCTACCATTGACATTAGCCTAAGCTAACTTCTACTGTATACAATTTGAAATAAATAAATAAAA